ATTGAAAGGGCTTCTTATTTAGGAACTTTATTTTAAAAGTGTCATAAATGTTGATCCTGTCAAAAATCTAAAGGATACGTTTCCATTCAAATAAAATATTATGTTTGACCTGAAACAACTTCTTTTTTTTCTTCTAGAAGTGGCTACTGATCTAAAAACGTAATTATTTATAGAGTTCTAAATAAAAGTATTTTAAAGGCGCAAAATAGTCTTACTGTGAACTGAAAGTAATAAATCATTTTGTCCGTTCTGCAGGTGTGTGTGGTGCAGACACTGCGGAGCTACTTCTCCAGGTTTAAGATGTGAATGGCAAAATAATTACACACAGTGTGCACCCTGTGCAAGTTTGTCTGCGTGCCCAATCTGTTACCGCACTTACAGGGATGAAGAGCTCATAATTCAGTGTAGACAATGTGATCGGTAAGGATTTCTAATATTTTACAGGGTCTTTTTTCTGCTGTTTCAGGCTCACTTTAACTTTTTCCCCCTAATAATGTAAAAGCATAGAGATAAAGGGAATAGTCTTGTGGTAAAGAGCACTGGACTGAATCGCAGAAGTCTCTTATTAATTCTTTCTAAACCGTACCACAGACTTCACTGTGTGACTCCGGGCAAATTGATTAATCGCTCTGTGCCTTGGTTTCCCCCTCTGTAAAGATAAAATAAACTAATTTACCTCACAAGACTGTTGCTGTGAGGCTAAATCTGCATTGCATTGTATCAAGTGAGTACTTAAGACGATCGCATATAAAGGAGAAAATTATGATACTAAAGCATATATGCTTCCGGGACATTGTTTTATATAGTTTCCCTTCCTGTTAAGGGAAATAGGTAATCTGATACTGTATATGCAGTATTTAACACACCTCACCGTAAGAGGAATGCTGTGTATGGAGAACCTGATTCATCATTTCTACCTAAAACAATTTAAGTTGAACAAGTATTTCACATTTACTTGGCCCATATACTGATATTTGGGTCTCCTAAAACACCACATATTTCCTTTAAATTGTATTTTTTTCCCCCACTTAATTTCTAGATGGATGCATGCAATCTGTCAGAACTTAAACACAGAGGAGGAAGTGGAAAACATAGCTGATATGGGTTTTGACTGTACCATTTGTAGGCCATACATACCACCAACAAACGGTAAGACGACAATTGAAACCAATGGCAGGATTGCACACTGCAATAAATAGGTTTGGGAATGTTTTATGGTTCTTTTTTCTGGTGGAGGTTTGGCTCATTGTAGACCCAAGATTTTTCATGTTTATTTTAAGGACCTTCCGGCAGTGTCCTCAGCTCATTCACGCCCACTAGTGATTGGCCATAAGGCCATCTCTATAGCAAAGCAAAAAACCTAGCAGGGGGGCTTCTGGCCAAATTTATTGAAGATAGGTTGGGTAAATGGCTTAAAAGCATTTGGTACTGAAAGGGTAAAACGCTTCTCGCTTTGTTAGATGGAAGGAGGAAAGCCTAGTTCTCTAAAGATTCTCACATCTTTATTTGATCTACAGAAGAACCTTAAAATCAATTCCAAGCAGAAACATTTTCAGTGCCTCAGTACTTTGAGGCCTTCTGAAGCAGCAGTAGCCATAATGAGTCATATGAGCTTTTTTCCCCTCCTCGCTCACGTTTTATTAATGCCGCTCCCTCAGCTCTCCCAGAACTTAGGATCAGTTTTTCCCTGGCTGTATTCACTGAAAGAATGCCCCATACTTCTCTGTTTAGGAGTCACCGGTTTTTCGTTAGCTAAAATGCATCGTACTTTCTGATGAACTTCGCCCTTCTCTGCCCGTGTTTTCACTGAATGTATTTTCTTGTTATTCTGTATTAAACAGTTCCACAGCATTAGCGCTTTAGGAGCTGAGGTTACTGCAGTTGTTGTCCTTGCGCACAGCTACAGTGTCCGGATCTGTGGGCTGGTATCGGTTATTTTTGTTGTGAGTGGCCTGTTAGGTGATTTATGGCCTAGCTACGAGGGTAGTATCCTGGGTCTGTTTTCTCTGCACGTAAGCTCACTGGAGTTTCTGCTCCAGTCTGCTGCTTTAACAGAGCACTGACATCTCTGCATGTTTTTAGAATAATAGCATGTGTAAGTATTCACGTTAACCCTTTCTTGGCTGTTTGGGGTATCACCGGTTTTTTGAAAGTGTGCGAGGAGGAAAGCACAAGAACTAAGAAAGTGTTTCAGTAAATGTTTATATCCACGAGGAGGATGTCAGTAAGAGATTGGTTTTCCTTATCAAGAGTTAAAGATGTCACGAGGCATGCGGTTAAGAGGTCTGCCAAGAAGAGTTCTGTAGAGCATCTGTTGTTCCTTTAGGCTGGCGTGTCCTCATAACAGCTTGATATTAATTGTAACTTATTGACGTGGCTTTGGAAGTTTATAAATTGTTCGACTATATGCAGTCGTGGAGCATTTCTTAGCTTCCACTGGTATCGCTATTAGAAGTTAGAATCACTTATGCTTACATATTTCTCCAGGTCACTTCATTTTTGAGATCTACTTTCACAAATTCAGCAAATTCAGCAAGAAAAAGTTTTGTAGCTGGGAAAAACAAGAAACTTGCAGAGATGACACAGGTTTTTATTTCTTTTGATAATAAGTTTCTGGGCACTTGGGAAAAAAAAAAACAAAAAACCAGTCCACGTAACAAGTAGTGCCTCTTCCTGCCTCTTATAAGCTGGCAGAGCTACCTTTTTAGAAGATAATTAAAGCCCATAATGTGTGAGATGGGACAACTTCAGTAGACAGCATCACAGATGTTTCACTTCCAGGCATCAAATGGCCCCAGAGCTGGTCCTTCCTACACACCTTTGTGAAGTTTTGTTGCTGAGGTTTGTCTTCTAGAGAAGTTGTTCCTGGTTTGTTGCTAGGAATCAGTCCTGCACGACCTGTTAGAGAGTTCCCAAGCTTTCTTTGCAGTTTCTTTTCACCCTTTTTTTAATGAGATAAGTTTCTCTGCTTATTATTCTTTGACTCCGTATGTGTAATAATCTCTTTAATGTGTGTACACTTCAACAATTGCATGTCCGAATATGTCACTTGGTGCATGTTCATAAAAAATACTTGCATGTACTTTTGTATAAAATATGTTTTAGTCTTTTGCTAATTCTTTTACAACTCATTTGAAAATTCTTTGTAATTTTTTGTTTCAAGGTGAGAATGGTTAGCATTTGATAAACTTGATGAAACAAACATTACTTAACAGCGTGCTGTTTCTCAGAATATTGCATATTGTGCGTTTCTTAGCGGGATGCTTCTTTCTCTTTCCATTTGATTTTGTGACAGAGGATATTAACGTTTACAAGTAGTATTATGGGCTTTTAAACTACTTTCTTTGTAACAGAGGCAAGAGCCCCTCAACCTAAAAACGTACCAGGATATTGCAGGTGAAGAAATAGGTTTGTTGTTGGTAGTGAGTAAAAACCTTCTAGAATGTAGGAATTGAGAAAGAGCTCCCATTTTTCTCCGCTTAAGAAAACCGAAACATCTAAATTTATGAGAGCTCTTCCCTATCTCATCTTAACAACACCAGACGCATATCTGATAATCTTACAAAGTCATCTTCTTCAGGAACCAGAAATAAAAGATGAATTGGTTTCTCTTCTTGAACATGCATAAATATCCGCAGCCACAAGGTGGTAAAACTTGCTCCAAAACACCGTAAACCTGTAATGTCTAGATTCTTTTGAAATAATCATCTCTAATCAGTGTTCGTCAGGTTGTTTTTAATACGGTCTCAAGTTATAGCCTGTGACTCTCAGCACATTGTTGTGTGTTGTGGAAGAGGTTCTCTCATTTCATTTACTTGAGTATTATTGTGACTGGGCGCTGGCAACTGCTATAGGTAGCAGCAGCTTTTCCCTTGGTGCTGTAATTGCTGCGCGCGTACAGGAGGGGTGTGTGCATCTCTCATCTCTAGCCACATGGCTCCCACACCAGTACGTCTGGACCATCCTCCCATCACTTCTGCCTCTCTCCATTTACCCTTGTGCATGGCAACTCAACTCAATGCCCCATCTGTAAGCTCCATCCCTTCCTCACTTATTCCCATCCTCTCTCTGTCCACATACTGCAGCTTCCTTCCACCTTGGTGCTGTTCCTCTTTCCTGCAGGAGGCACAGGTAGCAGCTCTGCCTGACTTTCTTTAGCAGGCGACAGAGCTGAGGAGAGGAGAGCTGCAGTGACACAATAACAGCCAGGTTTGACTGGTGTGCCTATAGCTTTTAGTAGCCACCTGCACGCTTGTAGTCTTCCTGTGGCTCAAATAAGCTTGTCCACAGAGGCACTGAGGAGTTCATATCACTTACCGCTTCAGAGATGTGCGGTACTGCTGGTGGTGTACGTGTTATGCTTGGAACCTCTGTTGTACAGTCGTCACAAAACCGAATCAAGATTTTATTGAACCTATAATTTATTCTGTGTGCTTCACGAATACAGGATAAAAAAGCAGTGTAGTAATATATATGAAAATGTTTAAGTTTTGAGTTTCTGATTTTTTGGAATGCTTATTTTAGAAGTTGCTGTTACCTACTTGTAGGTTGTTGTCTGTTTACGAACAAAAAAAACTCTTGTGTCATGCATGTAATTATGCAGGCATCTGATAATATTCTGGCATTGTCATGTTTCTACGTCAACCATTTTGCTCTGTCTCTTATGCTGAATTTGTTTCTGCCCAGAACTGTTCCTTTCTATTCCAGCCTTAAAGATTGCAGCATCCTGCCTCTTTCAAACTGTGATTTTTCGCATCGTATTGTGTTCTGTGCAGTTTTTTTAAACTGACAGTGCAAAACTCTGTCATTCATCACATTTAAACCCTTTAAAATTTTGGTTAAACTTAGCTAAGTGGCTTAGAAAGCAGTGACCCCTCTTTGTTCTGTGGATTTGTTTTTTTGTATCCAGTCTCTCTCTAATTTAGATCTCATATTTCTCCGTTACCCTTTTTATTGATTTAATCCTTAAACTGAACTCTGATAGGCTCCTTTTTGGGAACTCTGTTTAATACCATCTGCAAATATTGTTTGTTTGTGCGACTTCTGTGAGTTGGTCTCTGAAGGCCTCACCTTTGTCACTGTCAGCTCATTTATTTGAGTATTTCAACTCCGTTCTGTTTCCAGAGCTAGAAATGTTCATAATCTGACCTGGCCTTGAAGAATAGTCCCTGTTGTTTGACTTTTAATAAGTATATCAAGTTCTCAGTGACAGCTGTCTTCCTGCATTTTTTATTTTCCTTAGGTTCTCGTTCGATAATTGCTCTCTCTGATTTAAAACATCTTGTAAATTGTAATCAGTTAAATGAACAGATGAAGCCTCGTTCCTCTTTGAGTATTCATTGCAGTCTGCCATTTTCTGTTGTTTCAATTCAGTGATTTTAAATATTTTGCATCCTACAGCCTCACGTGTCTTTTTTTGTTTCTCTCCAGCTCGACATCTCTTTCAAAGTTTCATTTCCAGATTTTTCTCCCTTGTCTTTTCTTTCCCCTTTTGATTGTCATTTTTTTCAGTAATGCTGATGGACTACTTTCATTTACTAATTGCACAAAATATTCATTTTCTGTTGGTTATATCATGTACTTTAGTTACACCTCACATAGAACATTTTGCAGGTGCAATATTCAGAGACTTTTAAGGGACTGGACTTTCACTTCATCTTTTACATGCTTAGAAAGCGTTCTCTAGATTTCAAGTCTTTTATCTCCTGCACACTTGTTTTGTATTTAGCAACAAATTAAAGCGTTATATGGAACTCTGTGCTTTTCCTAGTCTTGTCTCTGACTCCCATATTTGTGTGTGAGATCATTATCGCTAGCACACATGGAGTTGATCTGACATGTCTGCGAAACACTGAATCTACCACACATACTTTGCCTCGGTGGCCTGGGCTTGTGTAGTACATACAAATTAGGTATTCTGGATGCTTACCTGAGTCTTAAATTTGGCTTGGGTAAGATTTCTAGGAAAAAAAAGGAAAAAATGTTTAAGAAACTTGCATAAATGGTACGCCTAGCCATGCCAAAATAACAGTTTTCTTGATTTTAGTTCTGTCTCTTTGTTTCTGAGAAGGAAGCTTCTAACTTTCCCCATTCTTACTCTGTCTACATGAGCTCTATAAAGCTACTGCTTACATTAGAAGTCTAGTCTGCAGATCACAGGTTAATGAAGCGAGATTACAGTCACTGTAATTAAGGCAGGTGGGAAAAGCACTTCCACCTACAACAGTAGGAGCCAGCAGTGTAGGACGTCTTGATTGCTGTTTGTTCAGTCACGCTGTTCCAGTGCTTCCTGGAAGGCGCAAGCCATAACTTTCAAATAGAGTTTCTGCTGTTCCATCTATCCGTACTCTTATCTTGGAGAAGAATTACCACATCTGACTTCAACAAGTCGTTATCATCTGTTCCAGATGCTCCATCAACCTCATTTTGTTTCTCATATCTGTTACGTAAGACATCTGAAAGCATAGACCCCGCTGGACTCTTGCGTGTGAAGCTATTGGAGTGCCGAAATCAATCCTTGAGGAAAAGAAATAGCTGCAGATGCCTGATTCTCAAAGCTCTCCCATTAGTCACGCTTAGGTCAGCAAAAACTTGATGTCGTGACTAAGGTAGAGGTTGCTTTACCATCCAGTAGATCCAGCGAATTCATTTTTCTCTGGTCCGGTAGAAGGAGATCATCTACCACTGAATTCGGTGCGGTTCCAGTACCGTTCTTGGCTCTAGCAAATTGGAAGACTTCACTTAATACCAGGCTTGTTTTGTAGTCACATCTTCTGTGATGCTGAAGAGCACTTTAGTTTAAAGGTGCTGCTAAAGGTTGCCAGCATTATAAATTAGGGAATTTAACAGAACTGTTTGAAAGAAAATCAATTGATAGTTTCAGTTTAAATCAAGTCACCGTTTTTAAAAGTTGAAATGATTTTCCTTATATTTTTCAGTGCCTTCTTTGGACTGTTGTGATTCATCAGTTGGAGCTCAGATTATTTCAAAATCAAAAGAACTAGGTAAAAATGTAAATGCTTAATCTGTGATAATTTAGCCTATTTTAAGGGTATATTTTTACATGAGACAAAAATTACTTTCTCTATGATTTTGTAACACACCGCATTAACTGTCTTTCAGTTATCACAGCATGCTTTTCATTTTTTTTTTTTCTTATTCTCTCTTCTTTCTTTTCTGTTGCCTGCCATACCTGCACTGTAATACCTTTAATTATGCTGTGATCTTGCAAAGACTTCCTTGCTTGCCTTAGTACTGGCAGAGAAAACGTTGTGGGGCTGAGTCAAGCGTGTTTAGAAAAGTATTTACGTGCTCGAGCTGTAGGAGGAGGATACAGCTTTTCTGTATTTTGGTTGAATTTGTGCTAGGAAATGTATAATCTTGACAAACCTACTCAGAAGTCATTTATTGTAGTGACAGTACCTAAAAGCTTCCCTCAGGTCAGGATTTTGTTCCATTTGATACTGCCCAAGTGCATTCTGAAGGAAGGTTCTCCCCTCAAATATTCAATCTGAAAGAGTATGCAATCTTTTAAAAAAATATATATTCTTCTTTAGTGCCACATAAGAAAGTTGATGTTGTGAGAATGATGTTCCATAATTCTGTTTCCAAGAACCAGCTGTGTTTTGGGATGTGAGATGTTACATAAGAAAATATTTTTGGTTAAAGGGAACAAGCGATATGATGTTTGTGTGCTTTCAGAACGTGTGTTGCCAAGTCATTATTTAATTAGCCCCAAGAGGAGAAGCATCATTGCAGCCTCTTCGTTATTTGGTAACTCCTTGAAAGTTACCAAACTGGTGCTTGCCGGCCCCCAGAACAGGTGACTGGAGAGCAACGCCTTTCTCCATGGCGAATCAAGGAATGTTGGGACAAGTTTATTGGTAGACACAGTTGTCCCGTGACAGCTTGAGGGGAAAGCGCTCTTGCAGGTCTTGGGACACTTGGGTTCTAAGCAAGATTTCCCGTTCAATCTTGAGCAGCTCACTTTGACCTGTCCTGGTTTTTTTTTTTGTCTGTAGGGTGAATAATTTACCTGTCCCGCTAAGGGTTCTAGGAGGCTGATACTGATTAATGTGAAGCTACAGTGCTGAGGGCTGTGTAAGGACCTGGGCTGATAAGCAACAGGGACCCCAACTAAGACTTGCAGAGTTTATACGAGTGCCACATAGAGGGGAATACCCTGCAGGACATCAGTTGCCAGAATCAGATCATTCTTTTAATGAGTTCTTGGTGTGAGTTGTTTTGTAGCAAAATACTGGCCTTGTTCCTGGGTTTAAGTTCAGGCTCTAAAGCTTTAACTGTAACATGTAAGACAGTATCAGATATCTCTGCGTTATTTATATTGATTTCCTCACTCATGAATCAGTGCCATACATGTGATTATTAACTCTTTAAAGTACAATTCATAAAAATCTAAGACTTGTAAATCAGAGAGTTTTATATTGCTGTTACGATTCATTTAACTTTTATAGACCCACCGAAGACATACACGCAGGATGGAGTCTGCTTGACAGAATCCGGCATGTCTCAGTTACAGAGCCTAACTGTTACAGTACCTAGAAGAAAACGGACGAAACCAAAGCTTAAATTGAAGATAATAAACCAGAACAGTGTGGCTGTACTTCAGACACCCCCAGATGCCCAGTCAGAACACTCAAGAGATGGAGAGATGGATGACAGTAGAGGTAGTGCTCTACTTTTTGGCATGTTTTCTTTTATCTTGGAGTGTTGCAGTAGATGTGTATACTGCATACATTTCTGAGAGCTTTTATTATAATGATTCTCATATGTTCTCTACTGAATGTTTTGTGAGAATTACTTGGACAACAGTCACAGCTCGTTGTTGTCCGTGCCAGGGCTTTTCTTACTGTTGTTCTGGTTGTGTCATCCATGCCATATGAAATCTGCCTCTCTGAGGCTGGCAACGCTGGAAACACACATGGCCGTTTTGTCTAATTCTTGGGTTACCTGTGGCAAATATTGTGCGCTCACTGAGAACAAGTGCATTTTCAGGCTCTCAAACTTAGTGCGAACACTGTTTGAAAGTGTTATCATTGGGCTCAATAAAGCAATGTCACTGTAGACCTAACATTTAAAACTAAGGAGAAAGTGAAGTAATGAGCCCTCTGGGGGAGTGAATTTTCTTGTTTGTTTGTTTTTTTTTCCCCCCTCTGAAAGAAAGAGCTTGGCTGATCTGAGAGTCTGAGAGGGAAAAAAATACTTCCTTTTATTTCCCTAGCCAAAAAAAAAAATGTTTTGTTTGACCTCATCTCCAAAGCGCAGAATTCAAGATAGAATTTAAGTTTGGAATTGAATTCTGGGATGTTGCTCTGGTTCCAATAGCTGACATAATACACAGAGCCCTAACAAAGGATTTCAATTTCCAGGGCAGAGTGTAGGGTCATTGGGGCAGGGGGTAACAGTGTTTGCGTTGCCTCTGGGCCTGGCAAGAGGGCTGCTAGTACCTGCCCTGTACCCAGAAACCTCACCTGTGTATAGCGGTGAGACTGGAGTCAATTGTAGAAGTGCATGGGTGAGCTCCTTCGCTCCACGGCTGGACTTGGAGCAAACGTTCAGGTGTCCCTGGGGCCAGCAGTACGTGCCTCATCTGCTTCCCGCACAGCTAAGGCAGGCAGAGCAGCCACAGCCAGACGAGCCCGAGGATTGGAGGTGAGAGTGGGAGAAGACGCGAGTAGGAGCCGCCTGCCTCTTTGTACCTTAAATCAGCATTCTCCAACACTAGACACAGTAGCCAGCATGGTACAGTACTGTTCTGCTGTCCTGTTTGCGGTAGTCTGCCTGTACATCCTGATAAGTATATTGGTAGCATAGGTGTTAATCCATGGCCTGAGGAGAGGCTTACTTAAACAGCAGGTGTGAAAGTCATTACATTAGTCATGCAGGTGTCTGTTACAAGTGGAACACAGGCGCTGCACCTCCCCACAATCTAAAGTGCTTTCTGTTTATGCAACATTGCCTTGTTGTTAATCAGATTAAATGTCATAAGAAGCTTTTTTTAGATACAGAGAGTGTACTTGAGATAACTGGGTAGTTTAACCATCAGCGCAGTTTCCATGTTAACTTGTTGATACAAGTATCGTTCCTGTTGTTTGATTAGCACATTTTTACTTGCCTTCTGCTGTTGACTAGAAGTGTTTTTCATGTTTTTTTTTTTTTAATAGATTCTCTTTATTTGTTTAAAACCTTTAAAACAGTGAAGTAGTTTTTCTTTTGTTGTCTTCAGGAGTCATAGGGTTTGGTAGATTAGCATTACACAGGCTCTAGCGTTTCACCCCGTTATGCCTTTATTTAGTCCATCAGGTGGGTTGTTGAAAGCAGAGAAGCTTTTGATTTTGGTTTGAAGACATGGAGATAGAGAATTACCCACTTCCCTTGTTGTTCTTCTGTGGTTAATCTTTATTTTTACAAATGCGTACCTCTTAACTTAATCAAACTGCATCTTCCACCCAGTGGCCTTTTCAGTGGCCACGGTGTGCCTTTTCAAGTAGATAACAAGATACGTAAATGTAATAGCAAAGTATGAACAGGAAAGTCGAGGCTTGTACGGTCTTTCTTGAATTTCAGTTATAATCGTCTTTCCTTGCCTTTTTTTTCCCCCTGGGAGATGCACATGTTGCACACGTTATCTTTTCATGCATTGGGAGCGAGGGCACGTTTGTTTATGTGGCTGTAACTGCATGGCACGTGCATGGTAGGTTGACTGGGTTTCCTGGGGGGCTCTGGACTTGCTACATGTGCTCTGCAGAGAGCCTGCTCTCTGAAAGTCAGCAATTTTTGTATGGGCATCAGGCTAAATAAAGCTATAGTACTGCTTTCATTGGAACAACACGGTAATTTCAGGCAAACATGAGAAATGCTTAGTTCTACTCCAGAAGTTCCAGAAACGAGAAGAATGACGTATGCGGGAAATCTAGGTTCATGGTAATCCTGTTACCGTCTAACCCATTTTTCATCAAGTGTCCCACCTATCTTACAAATTCACTTGACAATTCAGCTTGCTTTAAGAGCTTCAGTGGACTTAATGTGGCTTTTCTGCTACTATTTGTAGAGCATTTGTGAAGAAATGGGAGCAGCTGTTGTGAAGTTTAGCGTTCTGCATACTGCTGTGGCATGTGGGAACGCTTCAGAACTCCAGCAGGTGTCTTTTCTGCCAGAAGGGGAGGTGTTACGAAGAAGGCTCCCCTGGGCTCTCATCAGCCCTGGTGTTCAGTGAGGACCTGCCTTTGCCCATCCACCAGCAGCGTTGTTAGAACTCCAGAAAGACTCGGTCAATGGGAAAGTCTGGGCAGCGACCCAGCCTTCGAAAGCAAGCGGGGTTATAGTTCTACCACAGTAGAAGTGGTTTGGAAGAGGCCAGTTCTGTCTGTCATAGAAGTATAAACGGAGAGTACACGGCGTGTTTCATAAACAGTGATTCTGTCTCTGTCTTACAGAAGTGTTTCTGGACTGTGTAGAATTATATGCCTACATATAAATCAGAGAATCTGTTCCAGTCCCTGGATTTCAGTATCTTTTCAGGGACTGGAGTATATTTAACATGTTTCAAAAACTTACATTAAAATGAAGATGCAAGGTTATTGTTGTGTTGACATTTTGAGGATATCAGAAACAATTAACTCAGTCTCTCTTCAGCACTAAAGGCTTTTATAATCCCATCGTACCTCACTTCTCTTTTCTCCCCTGCTTTTTCGCAGAACATAAACTTAAAATTATAGTCCTCGTCTTCAAGGTTGATTAATTCCTTTGGGCTGGATTTTCTACAGTACAAGTAAACTCCTCAGCATAGACAAGTCAGCTTTCGGTCAGTCACAAGGCTTCAGCTCAAAAACCCTTCCAACTAAGAGTCGTTATATATTACCTTCCAAGTGCAGGCTGTATTTTTTCAGTCTGTCTTCTCAGTACAAATAAACCCTACCAAACAACAGTTAGGGAGAGGGTGAACAAAGTATACCTCGTATGGTAGGTTGTAGCCATATTCCTTGATGTATTGCTAGAAATTGTTCTGCCACTCAGACAGTGCAATGGCATAGGATTGTGAGAGGACTGCTTAAAAAAAGTCTCCAATTCATTTATACAAAACCGTGACATTTGTTCTCGCTTTTTGAGTAGACGTTGTAATTGCACAGGAAATGTATGCGTATGCTTGGTCTATGTGTGTAGAGAGAGGGTAGGTTTCTTAAAAAGTGGCTAAAGGGCGCAGGTATCTTATCACCTTTTGAAAAACCTGACATTCGCAATCAGTTTCTCATAAATCACTGACATACAGGAAATGTGGAAAACTATCTTCCTTCCCTATTCCAGTTGAGTTTATAATTGCCTTTTTTCTCCAGAAGGTGATCTTATGGATTGTGATGGAAAATCAGATTCCAGCCCAGAACGGGAAGCTGTGGATGATGATACCAAAGCAGCAGAAGGAGCTGATGGGATTAAAAAAAGAAAGCGAAAGCCATACAGACCTGGTAGGATACAGAATTTATATGGTTGTGGGTCACGTGTTTGGTTTTACCACTTTTTCTATAGAGTTAATGGCATTTTAGAAAGAGTATGGAAGTAGTATGGAAGTGTTCCATTCTTAACTGTTGATTTTAGAATTTTTTTCCTGTTGTGATTAAAAATATTGTTTAGCACAGCAGCAGACCTGCCCTTAACATTCTGTCAATTCTAAGTTTACAGTTCACATCTATACCTTGTTATAGATTCTTAACTTGATAGGAAAATGTATGGTATTTATGCAATTGCTGGAGACCAATTGTATGTGTGAATATGTATGTTATGCATGTGTATATAAAAAAAAATCTACAGTAATACATTCTATTGCATAAAAATGATTACATAGATACTGTGTAGGCAGGATCTGAACTTGAGAGAACTTTTTTGCAGGTTATCTTACCTATTTTCTAAAATTCTTGATATGAGTAATTTCTTAAGTAATTGCAGGTGACTTCTGGCAGTGAACTGTAATGAATTCAGTTATTGAATGAATTCATTTGTTTTAATTTATTAGTGTAGCCAGCTCTTAATTATCTTGACTGTGGATTAACTGTATGTTCTGGATGCAGAAACACTTGAGCTGTCTCCAGGCAGAAAAAGCTAGAGGTACCTAAGTGACTTTGTAGGAAGTAGCTCTGATTCATTAGGGCTAGTAATGAACTCAAGATAATAAGCTCTGCTTAGACACAGCTTGCGTTTTTGAAGAGCCCGTGCCTCGCACCCCTCAGTATGTCTCAGAGCATCTATATTTTGTGTTGGTTTTGTTTCTCGTTATGCAACCTCCCAGTACTGTGGGTAGGTTGACTGTAGTCGTTTCAGTCATAAATACTGTTCTGGCCGGTTGTGTCCGTCCTTCTTGCTGTAATGGGCCACGTCATCGGGTTACGAAGATAGTAGGAGAGGGGAACAGAGAAAATGAGATATTTAAGGAGGCGAAGGAGAGGGATACAGCAAAGTAGGGAAAAGAGGTAGGAGTTAAGACGTGGTCCCATTTCTCATCCTTCGCTGACAGCAGTTAAACAAATCTCTGCCACCTTTTCCACAGCCTGTGTTTTGCATGACACTGAGGAAGGGCCCCGTCGCAGCAGGTGATACCCATGTGTGTATTGCCTTCTGGGATGGGCAGATCCTGTGGAGATGGTGGTACAAACCCACATCAGTTCATAGAGATTTCCTGTTTCTCCACAAGCAATATGCCATAATAGGCCATTTATTTCTACTGAAAGGTCCTCAAGAGAAGAAAACTTCTTTTGCTCAGGAGTGGTTTTGGACCATGAGTTGAGCAGCCATCTGTTAGTTTCCTGCAGCCAGCTATTTCCCTGAAAAATTAAGCAAACCTCTATCTGATATATGTACAGACATATGCAGTAATCGTAAAGGGTCAGGAGCACTGCAGTCAGTCTTTAGTGGAGGATTCTGGAGTTTCCGGCAATGTAATTTTAGTTAATTATCTATTTTATTTTGTGATGCTTCCTTTTCTAATGCCATCAGTTGAAGTGGTGGGCTCCCTACACCAATTTGTAGAGTTTTTGTGATCCCTTAAGGTTCTCCAGGAGGTTTCATTTGATAGACGGATTTTTAATATTAGGAGTTCATCAGCATGCCACGGGAGAGAAAAACTGTCGTGTGAAAGTTGCCAGGTTTGGTGGTTTAAACTTACTGTGGATGTAGTACCGTCCTAAAATTCTGATACTTTTTGATAATTGCATGTACACCTACAGAGATATTAAATTATGAAATGCTTTGCAAGGCTCTGAATGAAAACAAGCACATCAGATTCATTCGTAGACCTCTACAGATGCGGTTATCCTCTTTGACTGCGGAATAATCTTGGCTCCCATGCTTACTGTGAAACATAGTCTTAATCAATATGCTTGACTTTTGCTTCCTTGTTAGGTATTGGTGGATTTATGGTACGTCAGAGAAGTCGTACAGGGCAGGGGAAAACTAAAAGATCTCTCTCCAGGAAAGATTCTTCTGGCTCTGTTTCTGAGCAGTTGCCTGGCAGAGATGAAGGTAAGTTCAGAAAGGTATTTTAAAATATTTGCTCATGCTTAATGCAGTAAAAATAATGGAAATCATAGCTATATAATTCTGTCTGGAGATGTATTACACAGCAAAATGTTTTTAGTGATTGTCACGATGGCTTCTGTCAGGGCTCTGTTGAGCCTAGCTGTGACCAGTAGAAGACAGAAGAAAGCACAAGAAAAGGGGCAAGATTAGTGCAATCCTTTTTCTGATATACCTTCCTCCTGGTGCGGTCCCGATCCAGAATTGTCTTCTGGACCGTGTCCTGTGGGAGAATTTATAGACGTATGATCTTGTTATGAATCTGTTTCACCTCTGTGACTCCTCTGTTAGTTACTTCAATGTTTTATTTATTGTTGAGTGAAGAAATAACTCCTTTAGTTTGTTTTAAACTTGACGTCTGAGAGTTTCATAGGGTACCCCCCAGGGTTTCTGTTAGGAAAGATTATGAAGAATCATTCGGTATTCATTTGTAATGCACAGAGATTTTCTAGGCTTGTGTGATATCCCCTGTCAGTCATCTTTTTTTCCAGGGCTGAAGAACACTACTCTGCTCTCTCTTTTTGTAGCAAAGCCATTTCATGTCTCTGATACTGTAATAATCAGTGGATTGGGCACTGAACAAGAGGTCGAGGTTTGTTTATGGGCCTGGCTCTGTTGCTTGCTATGTGTGATTAGACTAAATCATTTCACCCATCTGGCTTTATTCTCACTCTTTAATGTAGACAATACTGAGACTTGTCTAAGGTGAGATGCCGAATATGTATAGTTCAGAGTCCGTCTCCTGTATATTTAGGAGAAAGAGGCTTGTACTTCTAAAGGGTGGCTGAGAGCAATTCAGAAATCTCTGGCCTTTAATTTTTCCTGTTATTCTCTCTTGTCTGTTTAGATTTTAATTTCTTTAGAGCCAGAACTGTCTCTTGCTATGTATTTGTACAGGATGATGGAGACCTGATCTTTACAGCATCCAGGCAGTGTTAAAAACTAATAGTTAAGATTTTTTTCTTGTTGCACGTGTAAAACTGCTTTAGGAAGACAACCTATGTTTCTGTTATCAGTGCAACCCAGTATTGTGGCTGGGTCCCCTATTCAGAAATAGTAGTTGCTTTTTGTTTAATGTTTGTGTTACAGGTACATTTTTCTGCTTTGTAAATGTTATTTTAGGATATACTAGGTTGTTTCAGCTAGCGTTTAAAATTTTTCTGTTAAGCTTTTAACTTCATATAGAGGGACCTGCTCCTTTAACTTTTTTAAAAAAAAAAACAAACAAACTTCATTCTGGGTAACAGGACAATGCATACTGTTAAAAAGCAATATTCTTAAGCAAGTATTCTTCAGTTGAACAGTTTGAGCTTCCTTTTTTGCTCATGCACAATTGTTTATTAAGGAAAAAAAACTCAGAAAATCTCTGTATGTTTTAAATCAGCACAGCTTGCTGACAGCCTGGCTCGTAGCTGCCGGGGCTGGTCAGCTTGCAGGGCACTTTGCTACTCTCTGCCGTCCCACTCTCCTTCCCCGCAAAAGCAGGCGCTTAAATAATGCAGAGGCCACCGTGCTGGTGAGCTTCATTCTGCTCCCTGTCCCCTTAACACGTGACAAGAGATTAGTATAGTGCAAAGCAGAGTACGTTTCACTGCCTAGTAGTAAAGTTTGTAAAATAACTTCTCAGGGTCACTAACGTTATGTAGTTAGCTTTGGCAAGGCAGGGGGGTGGTGGTCTTCAAAAGTTTCGCTCTTACCTGCGGTGTTTTCACTGGTGTGTCGAAATAAAGTATCGATCGATTGATTGATTGATTAGCATACTGTGGTGTTTTGCCTGTTAGAAAAGCCTCTGTGCTACTTGGAATATGATAGCTGAATAAACATTTGGTTTTCCTTGAAGGAATTCTTTTAGATTCTAGATTCCTCTAGACTCTTTTCTAGCCTGTTCGTCGTTTACACAACAGTCACTTCTCAGCTTAAAAAAATCTTCTTTTACTTTTAATTTGAGAAAACTTATTGCATAAACTGAAAGCGGATGAGTACGTAACTCAACGGTGTTGATTTTGGAGCTGCTTCTTCGGTGGAATTGTCTTTTAAGTATCTGGCTGTATGGCATGTATCGTTCTCAAATTAATACCAAATTCTTCGGTTGGCTTTGAGTTATAAAAGTTAAAGGTCTATCTACAGCCAGTGGGTTATCTGCAGCCAGTGAGGTACAACAAGATGGTGATGTGACTCGTATTACCTATGGTAGTTTAGACCTCTGAGCCCAGATGATCAGGTGACGGTTCAAAGCTGGGTAGACAGAAGCAACCTTTACGGTATATCTAGAGTGATGCTGAAACTCATGCACCCTGATAGGTATGAAGCTGCCTTCAGCGAGCAACCGCCGTACCTCTAGAGCAAGAGACAGAGTATTTCGTATATTTGTTCCTGCATGTTACTTTTCTAGGTTGGACAGAACAGCTGCCAGACACTCCAGTTGAGGAGTCTACCCCAGCTTCTGAAAGCACAGAGAAAATAAAGAAGCGTTACAGAAAAAAGAAAAATAAACTTGAAGAAACCTTCCCCGCCTACTTACAGGTAAAGCTATTGGTATGCACTGTCTGTAAAACATGGAAAAATTAATCTGTATGTGTGTTAATTCTTAGTACATTTAAACCGTAACTGTTTCTTTCCTGTTTCCCAATTTATCATTCATATGAAATGGCTTTTGTGTAAGGAATGTTCCTAAGTTTGTATAAGCAACTGTGTAGTATGTGAAATCTCAAATCCTCTGATACCTCTGATATTACCTCTCAGTGTATAGGGCTCTACTTGCTCTGAAAAAACAACTTGTCTGTTTTTTTCTCTACGAACTAGCACAAGACGTTTTCAGCTTGTCTACTTGTGCACTGCACTAAACTGTGCACGAAGTCTTAGCCAGATGATGTAATTTCCTCTAGATTTTTTTAAATTAAAAAAAATAGAGTGAATGATTTGATGCAGGCAGTGGTTTTCCTACAAATTTGTGTTTTTATATGCCTGGCATCTCTCTGACACAATGATCTCTGCTCTTCCCTGCCTCCCAATTACTTTTGTGATAGCCCTAGCAGGTAAGGGGTAGCACTTGTTATTGGGCAGGATGGCCACTATATTAATGTGGATTCACCAATTTACCTGCCTTCAACTGGATTATAAACCAACCAGTTTATATCTGTCTCACTGAGAACATTATTTCTCTCACTCTTCTCGGCCATGTTTTTTCATGAAAACCTTATTACCTTGTAGGTATTTACCAAATATCGTGACATATAGACTATACTGGGATGAGAAGTTAGCAAAGAATTGACAGAGAGACAGAACAATCTCTATCTAAAAATAACTTGTATTTGATAAGCAGGGAAATGAGCTAGAAAGAAAATAACGAAGCAAGATTTCCTTTGTATTATTAAGAATAAATATTTTTCCTTAATGCACGTTTTATTCATGGAAAACGTAGAATAGCTTCTTGATCCTTTCTTCATTAATGTAGGAATAACTGGTAATAAAGCATACTCACTCCATTTTTAGCTGTTATATCCTAATTCAAGATTTTTTAAAGACTAAATGAAAACAGAAGAAGTTATATAATAAAATCGACTTGAAAATTTGCTAAGCTGTTTTCAGCTTCCTTAGTACTCGTCTTTAGGTGTCAAGTGCAATTGTTATGCAATATTAAATTTAAATACATAACTTAAAGGATATTAATGTAAGTTAAGCAGCTGTAGGTGTTTTATTCGTCATTGAGATGATTTTACACTAACCTGAAATGTGCTGCATGGTAGTTCTAGAACTCAGACTTCAGTGTACTTGCATGTTTTCCATAAACTTATGTGGCCTTGATCAAATTGTTTGGTAGTATTCCTCTTCTTCAGCTCTCATTTTTGAGTGAGGAGCAATACTTTAAACCCTGGGAAAGTCATAGACTATACATACGTGTAATACAGGTACAGTGTCTATGCCATGTGTACTTAAGATGACTGTAGTTTTTCTGTATAATTTAAGATGTGGATATAATAATAACATAATAATAGCATAACTACTTCAGGTAAGTTGTATCCACTATATTTACTCATTGGGCCCTGGAAAAGATAGTGCCATACTAGAATGAGTATGGGATGGAGACTGTCTTTTTATATTTTTAATAATGATTAACTTTTTTTCCCTTAACTTTGCCATTTACATAACACTTTCAATAGCTAGTGCTTTTTTTCTACATTGAATCGCTTTGTCTTCGTTACAGGAAGCTTTCTTCGGAAAAGATCTACTAGACACCAGTAGACAAAATAAGACGAGCCTAGATAATTTGCCTGAAGAATCACTTCCACTTTCATGTAAAACAAATTTGACCACCAATTTCCTGGATCCTTCTTCTGACCCCCTTCTTAGCTCAACCTCCACTCCAGCTCAGGCGAAACTGGGCGCTCAAGGTATACAAAGCTAAAGTTAGTGATGATTCAGTAGTTTGATTGTGGTGTTGTCTGTGGAGCTTTTGCACTCTTTTCTTTCAACGTTTAACCCATACGTGTTCTAACATTCTGTATAGTATTGACTGTTCTTGTAAGATCAAATTACATTGATAATCAGTGATATCTGGCTCCAGGGCTTTAGCTGTTTCAGAAGGAGTATTAGATGGCACAGCAGTTGGCACATCTGAAGCTCTGTGATTGTAATTTCCATGACTACAAAATCCATGAAAATGGGTTAAAGGGTCAAACCCGTCTAAGAATAAGAATAAATTCATTAGAAGAGGAGATAAAAATAAAAAAAAAAAGGTAAGTACCTTTTTCAGTAGTTTATTTTTGTCTCCTCTTATAATGGATATATGCAGTAGTCTGTTGAATATTCATTTATAAATGGTTACCATCCAACTTTTACAGTCTTCAAGGTTTTACATTATTTTAGGTTGCCAGGCTCCTCAGCATTTTTGGTTCACCGTGTCCTTTCTGAAAATGAGTGCCCTTTCAAGGTATAGCTTGTAGCCCCCAGGCAATCTTCTGCTTTCACTTTCTAGTGCAGAAGTCTACTGGAGATACTGCTGAGAGATTTGCAAATAGCCAGAGGGTTGTAAAGTGCTGCTGAAAGGGCAGTTTCACACCAAGGAGCAATTAAAAGCAAAAGGCTGACTCTCTGCTCCAAGGTTTTGTTTTTTTTTTTTCCCCCCTCAATTTCTTGTAGTATGTGCTATGTAGTTAGAGCTGTCTTCACCTTCTGTATTTTTTAAAAACTGTTGTTATTATTTCTTGTGTACGTAGTTACTTTGTGAATCACATTTTGACTGATCCTCACCAATTTTTCTATCTAGCAGACATTTACCCGCATTGGTATAGCTTTTCAGTGTCCAGACAAGACTTTTGATGAGAGAAGCTCGCTTATTTGTAATTGTTACTCAGTGAAAATCTACTCAATGAAGAGCAAAAGGCTACGTTATAATTAAACATTGATTGTTATACAGGTCAAATTTTGAGTAATAGAGATTGCGAAGGTTCACATCCCCTTAAGGGGAAAGCGCTGCAAATGGAGTGTTTCAGGGTCTGTACTTCATATGTTCCAAGCTGCAAGAAGATACATTCGTGTGTACTTTTTTCCTCTCCGGCATTCTTTGGAGCCAGAGAAGCACAGATTGAGAGGTCTTTGCTGGCATATCAACCTGCAGTATTAGTCATTAATGTTCATGTATTATGTCAGTGTAAGGAGGGTTTTAGAGATACACAATTTTGGTGTTATTTTAATGTTCTATTTGCCCGGTGTTTGAAAGTAAATTTAAATAATCTATTTAAAAAACCCGTGCAATTATAGACTTCTTGCTGGTAGACGTACCTTTTCTTATTGTTAACGTGACCTGTCTTCTGTTTCATTAATATGTTTGCATTTATAAAGCATCAGAAGCTGTCTCCTCAATAGGAGCCAGAAAACAAGTTTTAACTGCTTCTGGTGTCACTGTATGCTTTCGTATTACTTTTTTAGACATATGCTAATCAAGTGGATGAAACTTAGGAGTGCCGTTCCTCCAGAGCACTTTGGTCATTATTGAGACAATTCTTTCTAACTGTTTTGAGCCCTGAGGACCCTGATACATAGAGCAGATAGCTGGAGAGCATGGGAATTTTAAAACCAAAAGACCTTTTCCTTATAAATAAGAAAAGCTGTAAAACTTCATAATTTCCTGTTCTTTTCGTTCTGGAATTACAATGAGATAGTAATCAAAAGCAAATTACAAGCAACTGTTTTAGTGAATAACCCAGTGACCCATTTTATGTATGAGAGACTCAAACGACAGTGATTTCTGGCCAGAGGAATGTTCTCAACAAATGTGTCTCCACTGTTCAGATCCAGGCCAGAACTGTGACCTGTCCAGCCGGAGCTGTTTGTTAGTGTTGAGGGTGCCAGCAGGTGAAGTCGTTGGCCAGTGTTTATCAGTTCTAGTGCAAATATGTCTTCACTCTTTTACTGTGACTAGGTGGGAGACAATTATTTCTGCAATAACTTCCTGGTATCTGAGAGGGCAGATCCATTTTGAGTTACGGAAACACTGGTAAATTTGCTGGTTACTGAGTTGGTAACAGTTACATCTTCCCTTCTGGCTAGTGTTGCACAGGAGCTTGTGGTGAGAACAGTGTCTGAGAGCACCTGTGATGTTTTTGGTTCCTGTCATTTTGATGCAGACCTGGCTTTGGAGCAGCGATGGCACTAACCGCTTTGTTTGATGCACCAGGAGGTTGTAAGACCATACTGTACCATTAGGTACAAGGATTGCTAACTCCTGTGAGAACCCATGCTGAAGAGGATAGGCCTTTTCTGCATGGAAGATGCTCTTCTCTTGGAAACTCCAGTTGTTCAATCCCAGGATTAAGGGTCGGATACGCTTGTTCATCTTGGAAAGAGCTCTCAAGTATCTTATCAAGGGGGAGATACTCTGTCTGCTTTGCTTTTCAACATACGCAGAGGACCACTAGGGAATGAAACAAAGTGGTGTGTTCAGTCTTCCACTAATGAATTAACAATGCATTTCAGTGGCACGTTCAGCGACTGTTTATTCTCAGAGCTTGGTTAGGGGTAGCTGAGGCTTTTGCCAAACAAGATTGCCGTAGTGATGCACAGAGCCAGCCAAAAGACAGTTTTTGGAGTCATTTGTTCACTGTTAATTACTAGTAACTGTGATCGAAGTGAACTTTAGGCTCCCAGTACTGTTTTCTGTCAGGCAAAGAGGTGGCAATTTTTATTTCCAGTTAGAACCCATGGTGCCGCCGGAATTGCTGCCTTTGTCCTACGCAGATTCTACGTAGGACCAAACCTTAAAATCGTTTAAAAGAGAAGGCTGGAGGAGAGTGCGGAGGCGTGCTCACTGGGAGCACAGAGCACCAGCTCTCCAGAGTCTCCCCAGCTATTCCTTGGTAAACGCTGGCAAAGCTGGAGGTGTTGATTATAATGTGTTGTAAGCTAAGTGATCTGAGGGCTGGCTGTGTCTCTCCTTGGATTCTTGCTCTGGATGTCCGGCGTGAAAAAGAGGCCGGCTGGCAAAGGCATGTTCTGCAAGGGCTCTGAAATCCATGCTTTCCTTTAGTATGAAGTAGCTTAAATTCAGTAGGTTTTTTTCCAGGGGTGGTAGAAAAGGCGTCATTTAAGTGAGGTCTCTGGAGAACACTGAAGAAATGCTTCGCAGACAAAAAGAGAGGAGCTGGCTGAGTCCCTGTGCAGCTGGTTCACATGCTGCTGGGACGTTTTATAAACTGCATACTGTGTGACTAATCGTGCTAGGGTGGCTGCAACTTTTGGAGAGACGATTTAATTCTTTTACACTTGCTTGTTTTTATTTATGAAGTTGTAGCAGAGGAACTGGGATTATTGCTAAGTGATAGCAATAAAGTTGTGCTCTGTTAGAGATTCAGCATTGCGAGCAAGTTATTTTTCTTTTTCCTTTTTGTGAGTTTCTAGCTCCATTCTGAAGGAGTCAAGCAGTACTGAGCTATTGGTTTGGCACCAGCTGTCAACCAGCTATTGAATCTGATCTGAAGCAGCTGACTGAAGTGATTTAGTTAATTCCAAGATAATGTTTAGCACATATTGGATTAAAACTGGCAAAATAAGAAGAAAAATGTAAAAATATGCTTTATATAAATGTCTTACGCAGGACTTACAGTTCATAGTCTTAGCCCTCTGCTGTCACTAGACCTCAGTCTATAAAAAGACTTAACAAGCTCCATCTTAAAAGCCATTAGCTTTTTCACAATCTACTCACCTCATCAGAAGGCCATTACAGAATCTGATTGCTCTAATAATTAGGAGCCTTTTAATTTGCAGCCTAAATTTATTCATGTCCAGTTTATAACTATGGGGGGGGGGTAAACTGTTCAGTTGCGTATTTTCACCTACGCCCTTCTAGGTACCTACTCAATATATTTACATTCAAACTACAAGCTGAATTATTAGGGACTGTGCTGAAGCACGTTACTGAAGTCTGTGGAGGAAAACACCACGACTTCGTAAGTGTTCCCCCCCCCCCACCCCC